AAAAAAAAAAAAAAAAAAAAAGTCTGGAGCCAATTTGGTGGTCCATTCTTCGTAAGTTTCTATTATAGAACACATTTTTTGTACTTGACCATTTGTGTCACTGTCCCATTGCACATCTTTCTGAGTTACTTTGCTCTGTGTGTGTATGACCTGGTTGACCTTAGATTTTAGTACCTCAGAGGAGTCAGCCAAGATAAACTTGTATATCTTAAGTCCTTTATCTTCTTTTTGAGATAGTTTTAGATAAAATTAAATAAATACTTAGGAGACAGTGCTAGTTTAAGGCCAAGTGTTGGGAACTGCACACAGAGACATCATAAAATCCCAGTTCATTCTTGGTTCCTCTGACTGCCTCCTGATTGACTCTGCCCAAGGGTATTGATCTCAGCTGGATTATTCTTATACTAGTAGCCCATGATGAGGATTCTAGCCTGTACCCCTGTCTACCAATGCCAAATCTTACCACGCACACTGTTCTCTGTATATCTACATATCTGGTTTCCTTTACCTCTTCTTGAGGCTCAGGTGCTGTGAGGTTGCTCTCTCCTGGAACCGCAGCGTCATGAAGCTGAAGGCCTTGGCCCTACAAAGAGAAGAATTCTGCAGATGAGAGGTGGCTCAACCCCTGTAGCTTCTCAGCTTAGAAGGGTCCTATACAATACCAAGGGAATGCTTAGTGTTGTTTGACTAGAAGCTGAAGCCTTCAGGGAAAACTTGCCTCCATCCTCTTATATGAAGAAACCAAGATTCAAAGGGTGAAATGGCTTGCAGTAACAGGAAACCAGGTCATCTCCAGAGCTATTTTCATGAGCAGACACTGTGATTTCTGTGACATATGTCTATATGTATATCTGTGTGGGAGCGCGAGGTCTTAAAACTACTACTTGCTACTTTTAGAATAACTCTCCTCAAGAATGCAATGCAGCTCACACTTAATTTCCAATTTTAGCCTATGTGCTGTCTAAGCAAGCACAACTCTTACACCATGGCATGCAGCTAGGTGAGGCAATTGGTATAACAGTTTCTTTGGGGAAAGTTTTAGGTTCTGAGAAGGGAACCCAAGCATAGAAATCCCTGTATAGAAACTGCCCTGAACGTTAAGGTTTAAAACGAATTTATTATTTTTTAAATCAAAACTTTACACACCATAAACTTCTTCCTTTTAAACTAGAGCCAAATTTCAAACAGTGTAACAGACACCTGAAATTCCATTTTTCCTTTAAAAAATTTTTCCTTTTTACCCTGTCCTCCTTTTCCAGTCTGTGGATTAGCTCAAGGGTATTATTACCTCCTAGAAAGTTACTAAAACCTTCCTTCTCTCATAGATGATTCAAATGCTGGGCAAGAACAGACTCTTTCTCCCCAGTTTTTTATTTATGCACACACACACATTTATTTATTTATTGGGTTTTTGCCATAGACATGTGTGCTCACTGAAGAAAGACAGAGAGAGACAGAGGAAAGTGAGAAATCATCTACCAGGGTGATGGCCATGCCATGATTCCTTTTCCTCCATTCTTCTCTTGGGATTTTGGGTTTGTGTGCATATGTGCCTAGAGTGATTTTAAAGCTGCTGGCTCTGGGACGTGAACTGCATTTGGATATGTGGGAGTCCAGTGCCTTAACCACTATGTGACCTGCTGGCCCCATTGTCATATTTTTATTTACCTATTTTTTAAATTTAATTTTATTTATTATTATTATTATTTAATTTTCTATAGAGTGAGTGCACGAGAAAGTGAGAAAGCTAGCTACCAGGTCTGGGACACAAACTGCAGTCAGCCATGTGGGAGTCCAGTGCCTTACCTGCTGGTCCCTCTTTACCCTTTTTTTTTTTTTTTTTTGGGAGTTTTTTGTTTCGGGCGCATGTGGTTGCCAAGAGAGATTTTTGCTATAGGGCGCATGCGTTTGCCAGATAGACAGAGAGAGATAGAGAGACAGAAAGCGAGAAATCACCCCCCAGGGGGGATGGTCAATCCCTTCTCCTCCATTCTCCCCTTGGGATCCTGGGCACGCACGCACACACACCTGGTGTGAGTTTTAATTCACCGGGTTCGGGACGCGAACCGCGGTTGACTACGTGGGAGTCCAGCGACATAGCCATTATGCTAACTGCTGGTTCCCCCTCTACCCATTTTTACATGTGATATATCTGTAATTCTGCTTAAGAGTAAGGAGGGCTTATGATACATTTGCAGGAGAAAAGTGAGTACATCCACACGTAATGCCTGTCTCTTTCAATCAGCATAGCTGCCTCAAATAGAAAACTGGCCAAGGGAAAGCTTTATATTTTGTTCTGTTAGGGTTTTCAAGGTCTCCAGCAAATCAAGAATAAGGGCATAATAATGTTGATAGCTTTGATTTGAGTACCTCAGGGGAGTCAGTCGAGATAACCTTATTATTCTCTTCCACCTTTGTTGCCTCTCCGGGCTCTGAGAAAACCTGTGGATAAAAATGAACACCTAGGAGAAAGTTCTAAACTTTGCACCCTGGATACTACCTTTTTACCCTCTGCCCACATCGTCTCCTGTCAGGTAGCATGAGGCTCCCAAGGAAGCCTGGTCAACATTCAGTTAGGCATATGCAATAGGAGGGTGCTGTGATCAGAGGGGTGTCAGAAACCTCATACTGTTCTCCCATAGCTCATGTCCAGGCCTCCTTCAATCTCAAATGTCATTGTCTCTGACACTCCGTTGAAAACTGCAGTTCAACCTCCATTTCCTGTGCCCTCACCTACTTAATTTTTCTCCATAGTACTTATCACCACTAAATTGTAATTTTATTTATTTATTTTTCTTGTCTGTCTCTCCCCACTAGAATATAAGCTCCAGGATGGCAGGGAATTTTGTGTTTTGTTCACTGTCTTACTCTATTTTTCTTAGAAAAGTACCTGGCAATAAGTTATTATGAGGGACCAGCAGGTGGCATGGTAGTTAGGGTGCTGGACTCCCAAATGGCTGACCACAGTTTGAGTCTTGAACCTAGCAACTTAATTTCTTACTTTCTCTGACTCTCTCTGGTGAGTACACATGTCCCATAGCAAATTAAAAAATAGTAATAAATAAAATTAAGTAAAAAAATTATTTTAAAAAAATTATGGAATGCAAGGACCAGCAGTTAGTGTAATGGCTATGTCGCTGGACTCCCACGTAGTTGACCGTGGTTCAAGTCCTGGACCCGGTGGCTTAAACTCACACCGAGCACTTGTGCATGTGTGCCCAAGATCCCGAGAGGAGAATGGAGAAGAAGGAATTGCAGCATGATTATCTCCCCTGGGGGGGGTGATTTATTGCTTTCTGTCTCTCTGTCTCTGTCTGTCTGGTGAGCGCACATGCCCTATAACAAAAACCTCTCCAAAAAAAAAAAGAATTATGGAATGCAGGCGCATGTGCATGCGTGCCCAAGATCCCGAGAGGAGAATGGAGAAGAAGGGATTGCTGCCTGGCCATCCCCCTGGGAGGTGATTTCTCGCTTTCTGTCACTCTGTCTGTCTCTGTCTTTCTGGCAAGCGCATGCGCCCGATACCAAAAACCTCTTCCAAAAAAAAAAATTATGGAATGAATGAATCTTGGTGCCATCTAGTCAGATGTCTTACCATAATCCTCTTTCATAAGGATTAGCTCTTAACATCAGGGAAGGAGAACTACCTCTAAAGGTGGACCATTCCATTGCGATATTTTTTTGTTGGCCCTTTATGTCCTCTTTCCTTTTCGTGTGTAATATATACACACACACATGTGTGTGTGTGTGTGTGTGTGTGGGCATGTGTGCTTGCTGGAGAGATAGAAAGAGTCAGACAAAAAGCAAAAAAATCACCCCCCAGAGAGGATGGCCATGCTGCAATCCCTTCTGCATTCTCCTCTCAGGATTTGGGTACACATGCACATGTGCCTGGCATGAGTTTGAAGCCTCCAGGTCCAGGACTCAAACCACAGTCAGCCATATGGGAGTCCAGCAATGTAACCATTATGCTATCTGCTGGTTCCATCCCCCATATTTTAAAAAACTGTTTTTATACCATTTTTTTAAACCAGTGCTAATGTTGAAATTTCCTCTTATATTGATCAAAAAGGCACTTTAAAAAATCTTACGGGCCCTAATACTACCCTCTAGTGTCTCACGGAATAAGTCATATCTCTCTTCTATATGCTAGCCTTTCCAAATACTGGGTTGTTGGGAAAGTCATGATGTATTTTTGCATAGAAAAACAGAAACATATGTCATGACTTTCTTGACAATCTAATAATTTGAATAGAATCTGACTTGATTTCTAGATTCTTCACAAAACTATTTAATAGTTGCTCCCCAGAGGGTTGGTGTCTCTCAATTTCTTTTCTCATCTATATTCTCACCTTTCAAAAGGCTATCCCATTTGCTTTATCTCCCTCTGTGAGTTTCTGTTCTATGTCTCTCTAGTCAGAGACACACTGACAGCTATTTTTCCCAGGGTGTATTGACCATAGTCAAGGATAATGATAAACTAAAGTGAAATCCTCACTCCACCCCAATTAAAAAAAGGTAAAGCTCAGGATGCTGGTTGTAGGGTCTTCATATTGAGAAATCCCAGAACTTGGAGCAAAAGGAAGAAATTAGTAAGAATGTACTCATACTACTATAAGATTTAAGTCCTTTGTAAAATTTAATTACCCTAAGAGTAGATTAGTTAATTTACTGCTCTGAAGATGTGAAACAATTCCCTGAACCCAAAAAGGTATCCAAGGGTATTCCTGAGTCTATAATATAATGGTATCAACTGAAGGGCAACCTGACTATAGTAAAGGTAATCTCTTTAGAGGTTAAAAAAGGGAATAAAGATTCAAACAGATCTGCTCTTACCTGAGAGTCCATCAAGGTAGGAGAAATACACAGTTCTTCTGGGTCCAGGTTGTGGATATTTTCCTTTTCTCTGGCCTCAGGAGTTCTTATTGGCTTCTCTGGTGGTTCTGGATTAGGAGAGGCCTCTAAGGATGCCCTAGGACTTGGAGTCCCAGGCTCCAAGGAAGCTCTGGGACTGGTGGGTGAACTGCCTCCAGAGGCTGGAGGGCTGGACCTCCCTGAGGAGGTCCTGGGGCTTGGAGTGGCTCTGGGTGGAGGAGGCCTGCTAGGGGGTGCTGAGGTCCTCTGGATAGAGGCTTTCTTCTTTAATTGTTCAGATCCTTCACTTGAGGTACGGGTTCGGAGGATGACTTCTGGCAGAGATGATGAAGGCTGCTCTGATGGGGGCAGCGCTCTGCCTGGTGATGGCGCTGGGGAGCAAGGGAGAACTTCCTCCTGGGACTTTCCATCCTCACTGGTAGGAGAGGGCTGGGCCTGTGTTGGATCACTGCAGCCTGATAAAGGCTCATCATCCTCAGAGGAGCTTGCTTCAGACCCATGCTCCTCTATTTCCTCATCTTTTAAAGATTCTTCTTTGATCTCAGAATTGCCTTCTCCTTTGGCTGCATCAGGTGTCAGCTCTTCAGCTGCTGAGACAGACTCACTCTCACTTGTCAAGGAAAGTGCAGAAGGACTGGTAGGTGAGGTAAGAGGGCTGGATACTGTAGAGGTTCGAACTGGAGAAGAGATGACTAAAGAGCGTCTGCTGCTGCTAAAAAATGGAAAGGCATTCCTACTCAGAAAAAGCTAAAAAATGAAAGTATCCTAAATACCCTAAGATAAATTGTGATACACACACACACACAATATTATTACAAACTATTTTGTCCAGTCTGGTGGTGCAGTTGGTAGCAAACTGAACCAATGTGATGGAAGCCATTTGGCTGACCATGGGTTTGGATTGCTGGGTCAGCCTGGAAACATGCCAGGCATGTGTCCAAGATCCAGACAACCTGAGAGCTATGTGAAGAGGATTACAGCATGACAAAGCCCAGTAAAGGTGCTTCTCTCTCTGTTTCTTCTTCTTTCTCTAGTATGTGCACACCTGCTCTCTATTATGAACAAAAATAAACTTTACAAAACATGTAACAGAATAAAATCAAAGTGAAAAAAGACTAACATTTTAACTATGTCATGACCCTAATATGTAAAAATACATAAAGAAGAGACTGAAAAGAAACAGCAAAATGCTAACAAATATCTCTTCTGTGGAAAAGATTAACAAGTGATACACAGTTTATTCACACAAATTCTGTATTTCTGAATTCACCTACTTATGCGTAACCCCAAAATTAGAACTCCTGGTGCTTTCCCAGTCATTCACGAATACACACAAGTGGTGGGAAGAGGAAAAAAAAAAAAAAAAAAGGGTCATCTGGGGCCAGCAGAAGGTGCAGCAGTCATGTTGCTGAACTCCCACAAGGCCAACGGCAGTTCAGGTCCTGTATTTGGTGGCTTGAAACTCATCCTGGGTGTGTGTGCATGTGTGCGTGCTCACCCAAGATCCTGGGAGGAGAATGAAGGAGAAGGGACTGCAGAATGGCCATCTCCACTAGGGGGTGATTTCTCACTTTCCATTTCAACATCTCTGTCTCTCTCCAGTGAGCGCACATTCCCTAAGGCAAAAAACTCTTTACAAAAGTCATCTGACATGCACCTTACCAGCTGAAGCTAAACAGACAACAATTTGTATTGTTTCAGACCTCATAAACAAGTGCTCTTTTCACCATGTCTCATATATTTGTTCTTTTTATTGGTGATTTTGCTATTTAAAATGGTTCTCAAACTGAAAGGCTTCTCAGTGCAAAAAGACTCTTTGTGTCTTACAGAGAACATACATTCAGGCATAAATTACAATACTGTTGGTTGTGAATTGAATTATTAATGAATCAAATATACACATACACACACACATATATATATTTAAAATTTAATTTTTTTGAGAGATTTTTTGCTATATGGTACGTGTGCTCTCCAAAGAGACAGAAAGACAGAAGGTGAGAAATCACTCCCCAGACGGTACGGTCATGCTTCAATCCTTTCTCCATTCTTCTCTTGGGATTTTTGACAAGCATGCATATGTGCCTGGCATAAGTTTTATGACACCAGGTCCCAGACTTGAATCACAGTCAACTACATGGGAGTCCAGCAATGTAACCATTATGCCATTTACTAGTCCCTATTATTATTATTGTTGTTGTTATTGTTATTACTATTTTCATTTGCTATAGGGCATGTTTGCTAGCCAGAGAGAGGGTGAGAAAGCAAGCTACCAGGTCCAGGATTCAAACTGCGGTCAGCTATGTGGGAGTACAGTACCTTAACTACCATGCCACCTGCTGGCCTCTCAACAATATAAGCAAGGTATCTTCAAACAGAAACTCACATTAAAAAAGGTTCTGGGACCAAGAGGTGGCGTGGTGGTTAAGGTGCTGGACACTCCCACATGGCTGACCTCAGTTCGAGTACTGAACCTGGTGGCTTGCTTTCTCATTTTCCCTCTCTCTCTGTGTATATCTCTCTCTGGTCAAATTAAAATAAATGAATGAATAAATAAAATTAAATAAATAATAATTATTTTTTTTAAAAAAAGGTTATGTGGGGCCCAGCAGGTGGCGTGGTGGTTGAGGCAACTACAGTTTCAGTCTTGGACCTGGCAGCTTGCTTTCTCTCTCTGATGAGCATGTGTGCCCTATAGCAAAATTAAAATAATAATTACATAAATAATTCTTCATCTTTTTTTTTGTTTCCTTAAAAAGAAAAGGTTATGTATTAGTTGGGTGACGAAAATGCTGTGACCAGAGGCTTACAGGAACCTAATCTTGTGTTTCCCCTATAAGCAATGGTTCAATATTCAGTGTTTGTGGCAAATTTATAGAATATAACTACCATGAATAACAAGGGTCAACTATAACATTTGTCAAGTACCTACTATGCTATGAATATTGTGCTTCTATATCCAATATCAGCTTGACTTGTACTTCAAGTGCCTCCTATGTATTATTCACCTTGATTAAACAATCTGCAAAAATATACTTGACAGGTACTAATAATGTGCTATGTCCTGGGTACAAGGATGGAAAATGGGAATAGGAGGAGGGGGAAAATTTAGTTTCTTCCCCATGGGAGTTTCTGATGTGGGATAAACTGTGTGGTATAGTTCTTTCTAGTGCTAGCATCCTAAGAGTCAGTTAATTTAGAAGGCTCAAGACATAAAAAGAGAAAAACAAATTTCCCTACAAGGTTCTAGAACATCCTAGAGTAAATGAGGGTAAGTTTGAGAAGAATGGATAGTTATGGGGAAGAATGAACAATGATATAAAACTGGCTTTCAATGCTGGGAAGAAGAGAAATAGAGTTTTTAGAGCAAAGGGTAATTTGTCTAGGAAGTCTACACAGGCCCTTTAGTGCCTTTTTTTTTTTTTCCAATTTGCCAAAGGGCACATGCAAAAGCACCCTCGTGGATGGAGAATGGTCATATTACAATCCTTTTCCTCCATTTTCCCCTCCTTTAATGATTTTGGGCACACATCCACATGCTCTGGTGTGCTTCTCAAGATGCCAGGTCCAGCACTCAAACTGTGGTCCGGCCTGTGGGATACAGCTTCCTTAACCACCAGGTAACAGGTTGGTCCAGCGGTTCCTTTTAAATAGTCTGGTTAATTGCTAAATGTGAGCCCTGTTTTTCCTTTGTATCTCAATCTCAGTTTCACCACTTCCTTTAAGCCTTACCTAACCATCTGCACATTGGCAATTACCTCTGGAGTTCTTACTGGACTCATGAGGCACTTAGTATATGCAAGCTTCTATTGTTCCTTGTCTTCAATTTTTCTGTAATTCCAATTTTTTGTAAATAATTTTAGGAATAAAACAGATCTTCTGTCTTTGGAGTCCTAATACCTGATATAAAATGTTGTGCTTGTAATAACATTTTACGAGATTAAAAAAAAAAAAAATTGCAGGGCCAGCAGGTGTTGTGTTGGTTAAGGCACTGGACTTCTACAATGCTGACCGCGCTTTGAGTCCCGGACCTGGTGGCTTGCTTTCCCCATTTCCTCTCTTTCTAGTCAAATAATAATAAAAAATAATAATGAGGGGCCAGCAGATGGCATAATGGCTATGTTGCTGGACTCCCACATGGCCAAATGCAGCTTATGTCCTGGACCCAAGGCCTTGAAAATCACACCAGGTGTGTATGCATGTGTGCCCAAGATCCCAGAAGAATGGAGAAGAAGCATGGCCATCCCCCTGAGGGGTGATTTCTTACTTTCCCTCATACTGTTTCTCTCTCTCTCTCTCTCTCTCTCTGGCAAGCATGAATGTCCTATGGTAGGGAAACCTCTTTAAAAAAATAATGACAAATAAAATGAAATAACCCTTTTTAAAAAGTTTGCTATAGGGTATGGTATGCATACTTGTAAGAAAGAGAGAGAGAGAATAGCATCCCCTAGGGAAAATGACCATGCTGTAATCCCTTTTCTTCCATTCTTCTCTTGGGATTTGAACATATAAGCACATATATCAACACATTTTGTTTTAGTTTTGCTATAGGGTGCATGCACCTGCCAGAGAGAAAGTGAGAAATCATCACTTAGGAGGGATGGCCACACCGTGACCCTTTCTCCTTTCAGGATTTTGGACACACACGCACATGTGCCTGGCATGATTTTTAAGGCCCTGGGTCCAGGACTCAAAACCACATGTTTGGCCATGATTAACCGAGCCATCTTTTTTTTTTTTTTTTGGGGGGGGGGAGATTTTTACTATAAGGAGTGTGTACTTGCCTTAGAGACAAAAAGTGAGAACTCATCCCCAGTGGGGACTTCTACATCACAATCCCTTCCTCCACTTTCCTCTTAGGATTTTGGGCACATATGCATGCACATGTGTCTGGCATGAGGTTTATTTTTTTTGGAGAAGTTTTTGCTACAGGGCACATGCACTCGCCAGAAAGACAGAGAGAGACAGAGAGACAGAAAGCAAGAAATCACCCCACCAAGGGGGATGGCCACGCTGCAATCCCTTCTCCTCTTGGGATCTTGGGCATGCACATACACACACCCGGTGTGAATTTAAGTCACCAGGTCCGGGACTCGAACCACGGTCAATTATGTGGGAGCCCAGCAACATAGCCATGATGCCAACTGCTGGTCCCTGGCATTAGTTTTAAGCTGCTAGGTCAGGGACTCAAACTGTGGTCAACTATGTGGGAGTCCAGTGACATAACCATTACATCATCTATTGGTCCCTAATCCGGTCATTTTAACCACTATGCCTTGGGCTGGTCCCTTACAAGGATCTTAAAAAAACTTCTTAAACAAACTTCAGAATAACCAAGTGATCACATCCTGAGGGATCAGTGAATTGCTTATATTTACAATTATGAAAAATCCATGAGGGCCCACTCCATAGCCTAGTGGTTAAAGGAGACAGATCCCACACAGTCAACTGTGCAGTTTGGGTCCTGGTCCCAGTGGCCTGTAAAACATGCTGGGGATGTGTGTGCGTACCTCAAATCCTGACAGGACAGAGAAATGGAGGAAAAGGAGTTGCAGTGTGACCATGCTCCATTAGGGAGTTCTTTCTCCCTCCCTCCACCTCTCTCCTGTCTCTCTGTTTATTTTCTGGTGAGTACATGTGCCTTCTGGCAATTAAAGAAAAAAAAAAAGTAAAAAATATGACAGTAAAAGTGGGAAAAAAAGTAAGCCATAACAAATTGGGAAAAGATATTTGCAAAGCATATAATTAAAAGATTAGTATCCAGACTAGGTATACTAAAACAAAACAAAACAAAACAAACAAACAAACAAAAAACCAACCACTTATATAAATGAATTTTTTAAAAAGGTGCTAATAATCTAATGAGAAAAATTAGATAATTAGCAAAGTCACAGAACAGGAACCTTAAGTGGCCAGTAACAAAAAGATGCTCTAGAAACTAGCAATTATGAAGCTGTTAACTTGAAACTGAAAAATTCCATTTCATACTCATGAGCATGGGAGAATGAAGAAATCTGACAGTTTACATGTGGCAAGAATGTGGAGCCATGGAGGCTCTTACTCACTGCTGGTGGGTTGTAAACTAGAACAACCACTTGGAGAACGATTTGGCAATATCTAGAAAGGCTGAGGAAGCCCTTGTTACAGACTCTGACTCAGCGATTCTAGTCCTAATATAGACCCTAAAGAAACTCTCAAAAAATATTCACAAGGAGAAATGTAAAATATTCATTATAACAGTATCTGGAATAGCAAAAAAAACTGAAAAAAAAAAAAAAAACCACCCTCAAGTGCCCATTAGCAAGAAGACAGATAAATAAACTGCGAACCAGGCATATAATAATATCCATAACAGTTACCGGAAGAAAACAGCAAAAAGCTGGCAACATGTAGCAACAAGGGTAAATCTCACAAATACCAAGAAAACAAAAGAAGCTGCAGAATAATACATATGTATAAATCCATTTATAGGAAGTTTAACACATGCAAAACAATATTTTATGTGTGCATGTATGTGTGAAATAAAAGTGAAAAAACATGCATGGAAATAAATACTAAATTTAACATTAATTACCTTTGAGGGAGGCGGGAAGAGAAAATGAGTGAGGAAGGGACACTGGGAACTTAAATTATATTTGCAATAATGGATTTCTTAAATTTGGTGGTAAGCACATGTTTATTTGTTGTATTATTATTCTAATTGTTATTGCCAGAGTACATGTGTGCTCACCAGAGAGAGAGAGAGAGAGAATGGGGCAAGAGGGTACCTCTCTCAATGGTGTGCGGTCATGTCACAATCCCTTATCCATTTCTTCATCCTGCCAACATTTTGGGCACATACACACATGCACCTGACATGTTTTACAAGCTGCCAGGGCCAGATTCAACCATGGACAGCCATGTAGGATCCAGTTCCCTTATCCACTACGCTATGGGCTGGCTCTGTTATATTATTCTTTCTACCTTTAGTTATGTCCGAAATATTTAATGAGAAGAAAAATAATTTAGTTAGGGGCAAAGTACAAACAATAACCAACAGGCATATTAATATAAAGGAAAGGACAGAATTTTGGATCGGAGATGAGGAAGTTGAATATGTTCACACACAGGACAAGTGAAGCAGAAAGAGTCTCAGAAGTTGCTCACCTTGATAGTCCCTTCACCACAAAGACTTTGTTGGAATGTTGCTTCTCCAGTTTGCTCATCACCTCATAGAGATTGTGGTTCAGCTAGAGACAGCAAGAAAGAAGATACCAGTCAAATGGGAATCAGAAATTAGCATAGCTCTTTTCTCTCTTTTTCAGGCAGCTTCCCAAAGAAAAAAAAACCTCCACTCTTTCACCTCTGATCTGTAATTCCTCCTCATCTCTCTAGCACTGGTGTCCAGGGTCCTGTCCCATTGCCCCTTCCCCCCATTTCTCTTGTCCTAAGTTCTGCCTCTTCCATCAGACTGGCAGCTCTAGCAAGTCAGTATCTGTAACTGACATTCAAGGTTCAGCTTCTCTCTAGTGATCCAAAGAAGAAAAATTCATTTTAATATTAGACAAATCATAATTTAGGCATAGAAACTGAAGAGAAGAATATGTGTGTTGTTAGAGTGTAATTAATATTATATAGTAAAGAATCTTGGAATCTCGGGACTAGAAAAAACCCTATGAGGTCATGTTAACTATCACTGACAGGATTGATATATTCAAGACCAATTACCCAAGAAAATGACTTGTGCTTAAACATCACCTTCACTGCTCTCCAGCAACAATAGATGGTTCCCCATTTCTGTTGTTCTTTCCATAGGCCTAACCTCCTTTTGGGGGGAGAGACTTTGCTATAGGGCACATGCACTTGCCAGAGAGACCAAAAGTGAGAAATCATCCCCAGTGAGGATGGTCTCCTCCACTGTCTTCTTGGATCTTTGGGTATGCATACACATGCACCCAGCATGAGTTTTAAGCCACTGGGTCCGGGACTTGAACCACGGCCAACTATATAGAAATCCAGTGACATAACCAATACATCATCTGTTGGTCCCAGGCCTAACCTCCTTTATTCATTTTGAAACCCAGATTTAGGTGTTTTTCAGTTGTTGTGAAGATAAGAAAAGTCCCTCTGATAGTGCACATATGTGCTTTAGTTAAGCACAATCAAATGCTATTGTTTCGTCATGAGATAAAAGTCACAATCTGTAACGTCAATAATGAATACTTAAAGAAATAATGTAAATAAGAGCTACCTTCAAATTTACTAGAGAAACCTACCTAGGAGTTTCAATTGGCTAGATGTTTCTCACCTTGCTCATCTCTTTGAAGAAGACATCCCTCAAGTTGGAAATGTTTTGGAAGATGGTCACATAACAGCCAATTCGACTATTAGGAAGCAAAACAAAAAATACATACAAATAAGGAATAGTAAAGGAGGTCTTTGTCTGAAATACAAAGTAGGAGATTAAACCAAAGCTAGTCACCACTGAGGTGCCTCAGAGAAAGACACCCCACATCTGAGATTCAGAGTATTCTGGGATCTGTATTCATCAGAGCCAGGTCAGTCACACCTGACTCAAGTGCAGGAAAACCAGAGTAGACAATATGAGCCTACGTTGAAACCAAAGGTGAACAAATCCCTAGTTTCATGAAGTTATCTGATTCAGGCTCTTGAGGCATTCAAGTAGACATGATGCTTTGAAGAATTTTTTTAAAGGGCTATATAACTATAAGGCCATAATTATAATGATCATAATAATAAGTAGTTTGACTTTATACAACACAGGACTTTTATGCCTGTTTGTACATTAATGGGCTCATTCTAGAAATGAATTGGGAAAGTTTAAATTCTTTTAAAATTAGGAGTCACATAATTAATGTTTTAGAATGCAGTCATTAGAAAGGCTCTGTCATACATAGACTAATATTAAGTAACAATAAAAATACTTTGACTAGGGCCAGCAGGTTCTGTGGTGGTTGGGTTGCTAGACCATGGCTGACCATGGTTCAAGTCCTGAACACAACAGCTTGAAAATCAGGCTAGGGCACATATACATGTGTGTCCAAAATCCCAGGAGAATGGAGAAGGGTTTGCAGTGTGGCCATCCTCCCTGGAGGGCGATTAATAACTTTCCCTTTTATCGTCTCTCTCTCTCTCTGGTAAGTACACATGCCCTATAGCAAAAACCTAAAAAACACAAAACAAAAACCAAAAAACCCTCTGACAACAATTATATTAAAGCATATCTTCTACAATGAAAAGAAAATAGGATACAGATGGATTTTCTGTGTAGATTTTCTCTTCCAATGTGAAAAATTTAAATTTAAAACACAACTACTGTGAAACAAAGATACCTTCATTAATGCAAATAGTTGTTCCAAGGTTTATCTTCTGCATAAATCTGGATGTTATGAACCAAGCTTGTTTAAAACAATACATACTTGAGCATGAAAATGGATACTTCTAGTACATATGATGACAGTACTTTACTTGTCAATATTGCTCCTATCCAAGAAGAGGGTATCTTCAAACCCACAAAAGCTGGAAGGGCAAAGGTGGTTATCTGTATTGTACATGAAGAATCCAGGGTCTAGCAATATAAAATTGCTTGCCTAATATCTCACAGCAACTGAGGGGCAGGGCTTAGGCTACATGTCATTATTGGGTCAAGGTTATTTCCACAAGGTAACATATTTGGCCTGCCAGGTGGCTTGGCCCAGGAGGCCAGCCCTTTCCTACATCTCTTACATCATTACCTATTATAAAGAATAGGCAGCTCCTCCAGAAGTTCCTGGTTCAGATCTTCAAAGACAATCTGGGCTTTGTTGAACTCTTCTTCTGCCTAGGTAGTGAAAGAGACAAGACAAATCCCCTTGAACTTGAAGTTAGAGGATGACTTTATCTTTTGCATTTTTTGAGGGATTAGGCTTACTTGGAGACATGCCTCTCCTTCCCTAGATCCATGCCCTCCATAGCCTGAAGACTGACTATTGTCACAGCATCTTGTCAGGGGAAACAGTATTTCTCCAGGATGCTGGATGCTAAATTTATCATTTCCTTTATTCATCTTAGCCTAGCCATCTGCTACCACTATAGGGATGTGGGGGAAGCAGGAAGGTTTTACCAGGTTTCTTTTGTTTGTTTGTGTTTTGCTTTTTTACCTTGGCCGTCTTGGCCTCATCTTTCTTCTTGGCATTCTGCACTGCCTCCAGATGGTGTCGGGCACTGTCATAGTCCACGAGTTTCCGTCCCCGCTTAGCAATTCTTTCCTAACCCAGGGTGAGGAGAAAGGGTGTAGGTTAACTTTTCAGTGGCCAGAATGTTAGTAACAGAATATTCTGTTAAGCAGACAGGCAAAATTCTTGGGTCCTCTTATACATTTTACTAACAGGATTTGTGCCCAAGGGATCTGTCTCACTACCTGGGAAGAATGGAGATTCTCAGAGAGAGATAGAGTAAGGGGCAAACCTAAAGAGCACATAGAAACCTCTATTACATTTTAATATCTCCTATGAACCTATTAAAAACTGGCTTAGCTTCCAGGAGAAATGGTCTTGATAATCTCACTCAAAGTCAAATATTTGTAGCATCCCACATCTGCCAGTCATTAACCTTGTGCCTATGGCAAGATGCATCTCTTTTGGAGCCTCTTGTTAGAGAGAAAGAAAAAGAGACAGAGACCGAGACCGAGAGAGAGAGAAAGAGAGAGAGAGAACCCTCCAATAGGGTATGGTCACATCACTACCCTTTTTCCTCCATTTCTCCTTCCCATCAGGATTTTGGGCATGCACATAAATGCACTCAATGTTTTTTCCAAGCCACTAAGGCCAGAATTTGAACCACAGTTGGCCAAGTGGGATTCAGCTCCGTTAACCACTGACCTACAGGGCCAGCCCAATATAAGTTATTTTAAAGATCAAATGCTGAATATGAGCTGTATTAAAAATTCTGAAGCACAATAAATATATTAAATTATTATGAACACTGATAGAAATTTTACTCAATGTCATCTAAAGCAACAAATTATACCAGGGAGTAGTAAATTATGTTATTGGCTCATCTCATTCTTTCAATCACAGAATTTGAAAAGGTCTTTGCAATGATCTGTTCTAACTTTTGATACAATACATGAAGCTTCTGTATAATATTCAAGGTAAGTAGTTTGATGCAGCAATTAAAATCTAGCACAATTTAAAAGAATAAACAAAGAGGCGAAAGAAAGGGGCTAAAAAAAAGGTAAGTAGTTTGACTCTTGCTTGAATAGAGAACAAAACAACTCACCATCTCAGGGTATTTAATTTTATTTTTGAAAAGCTTTAACTATTAGAAACTTATATTAGCTTTTCTCTAATTTCTTCTTAATCTAACGTTAGTGCAGTGCCCAACAGAATAGGTGTTCAATAAATTTAGTTGAATGAATAAATCAGTTCTAATTCTGCTTTCCAAAACAGTTTAGGACACTTTTCACCTAACTGGCTTTCAAGTATTTGAAGATTACTGTTATGTCTCCCCCAAGTCATAGTTTCCTTTTCTATATGATAAATATCTTTAGTCCCATCAGTTGTTTCTCACAGCTACAAGAGACAGTTTGACCTGCTGGGTCTAATTCAAAACCAGCCCAAATCTAGCATACTGAAATCCAAGTTTAAATATAACCTTCACTGGCCAGCTCCATGGCCTGGTGGTTAAGGTGGCTAGATCCTACATGGCCAACTACATGGTTCAAGTCCTGGAGTGAGCAGATTGACAAACATACCAGATCCATGTGTGCACATGCCCAAAATCTTGAAAAGGAGGGAGAGTGAGAAGAGAAGGGATTTTAGCATGACCATACCCCATAGGAGATGCTTTCTCCCCCGCCCCTCTGGCAAGCATACATACCCTGTAGCAAAAAATCAAAAACACACACAAAAACATAACCTTCCAAAGATCTCTAGACTTCCGTTTTAACCTCTTGTCTAACCTTCAACATTAACCCTCTTCCTAACCTATCCAACTTTCTTCTTAACCATGGGCTCTAACTCTACTGGTAATATTTAATCGAATATGTTCTCTAAACTGTATGGGCCACCCATACCTAGCACTGATTCTGTAAATCAAGTACCTTAATCTCGCTGAACTGAGCTACATAGTTTTCCATGGTCCTCAAAGCCTGGTCAGCCAGTTTTTCTTCATAGTCTTCCCAAAGAAGATCATTATTCTGTGGGAGAGACAAAGCCTGGTTAGGGATTCACTTTTCAACAATTGCCTTCCAGGGAAGTATCCAAACTCTTTTTTCCCCTTGTTTTTAGCACTGAGAATGTCATGTTGGGGAAGTGTCAGAGAAAAAAAAAAAAGAAGACAAACTCTTGCCCTAAGGAACTTCCCTGTAGGAGATTGGACATACATTCAGGGATTGAGAACAGGAACACATGATAAGAGCCCTGGACTCTAGAAGGATAGGCAAGTTTGGGAACATGAGGTTAGTTTTCAAAAACAAGAGATTAAGGGGACCAGCAGTTAGCGTAATGGCTATGTCACTGAACTCCCATGTAGTCGACTGCGGTTCGAGTCCTGGACCCAGTGGCGCATGTGCGTATGTGCCCATGATCCTGAGAGGAGAATGGAGGAGAAGGGATTGCGGCGTGGCCGTACCCCCTGTGGGTGACTTCTCTTTTTCTGTCTCTCTGTCTCTGTCTTTCTGGCGAGTGCATGCGCCCTATAGCAAAAACCTCTCTTAAAACAAAACAAAACAAAACAAAACAAGAGATTAGGGAAAACCTTAACAGTTACAACTTTTTCATGTAACCTCTGACTGAAACTAAACAGACAATGTGAACTTAGTTTTCATATTTTCTTAGATGAAGAAGCTGAGCTGTGAGATGAGAACAGAAGTAAGTGCTAAAGAACACAAAAGCCCATGTTGCTCTTACCCCTACGATGGCCTTCAGTTCCTCATGACCTTCCCATTCGCTGCTATAGATCTCCTGCAGAGTTTCTGACACTCTCTTTGAACTCTCATGCATCACTGAAAGGAAAAACTCTGTCCAGTCATAAAGTTTCCAAAAAGTAGTTTGGTACCATCACATGGGTGACCCTGCCAGAAGGTGTTGTGTACTTGTCAGAGAAAGAGAGACCCCCATACCTCACCCCACAATCCTTTCTCCTCTAGTTCTCCTTCCCATCAGGATTTTGGGCATGCACATAAATGCACTCAATGTTTTTTCCAAGCCACTAAGGCCAGAATTTGAACCACAGTTGGCCAAGTGGGATTCAGCTCCGTTAACCACTGACCTACAGGGCCAGCCCAATATAAGTTATTTTAAAGATCAAATGCTGAATATGAGCTGTATTAAAAATTCTGAAGCACAATAAATATATTAAATTATTATGAACACTGATAGAAATTTTACTCAATGTCATCTAAAGCAACAAATTATACCAGGGAGTAGTAAATTATGTTATTGGCTCATCTCATTCTTTCAATCACAGAATTTGAAAAGGTCTTTGCAATGATCTGTTCTAACTTTTGATACAATACATGAAGCTTCTGTATAATATTCAAGGTAAGTAGTTTGATGCAGCAATTAAAATCTAGCACAATTTAAAAGAATAAACAAAGAGGCGAAAGAAAGGGGCTAAAAAAAAGGTAAGTAGTTTGACTCTTGCTTGAATAGAGAACAAAACAACTCACCATCTCAGGGTATTTAATTTTATTTTTGAAAAGCTTTAACTATTAGAAACTTATATTAGCTTTTCTCTAATTTCTTCTTAATCTAACGTTAGTGCAGTGCCCAACAGAATAGGTGTTCAATAAATTTAGTTGAATGAATAAATCAGTTCTAATTCTGCTTTCCAAAACAGTTTAGGACACTTTTCACCTAACTGGCTTTCAAGTATTTGAAGATTACTGTTATGTCTCCCCCAAGTCATAGTTTCCTTTTCTATATGATAAATATCTTTAGTCCCATCAGTTGTTTCTCACAGCTACAAGAGACAGTTTGACCTGCTGGGTCTAATTCAAAACCAGCCCAAATCTAGCATACTGAAATCCAAGTTTAAATATAACCTTCACTGGCCAGCTCCATGGCCTGGTGGTTAAGGTGGCTAGATCCTACATGGCCAACTACATGGTTCAAGTCCTGGAGTGAGCAGATTGACAAACATACCAGATCCATGTGTGCACATGCCCAAAATCTTGAAAAGGAGGGAGAGTGAGAAGAGAAGGGATTTTAGCATGACCATACCCCATAGGAGATGCTTTCTCCCCCGCCCCTCTGGCAAGCATACATACCCTGTAGCAAAAAATCAAAAACACACACAAAAACATAACCTTCCAAAGATCTCTAGACTTCCGTTTTAACCTCTTGTCTAACCTTCAACATTAACCCTCTTCCTAACCTATCCAACTTTCTTCTTAACCATGGGCTCTAACTCTACTGGTAATATTTAATCGAATATGTTCTCTAAACTGTATGGGCCACCCATACCTAGCACTGATTCTGTAAATCAAGTACCTTAATCTCGCTGAACTGAGCTACATAGTTTTCCATGGTCCTCAAAGCCTGGTCAGCCAGTTTTTCTTCATAGTCTTCCCAAAGAAGATCATTATTCTGTGGGAGAGACAAAGCCTGGTTAGGGATTCACTTTTCAACAATTGCCTTCCAGGGAAGTATCCAAACTCTTTTTTCCCCTTGTTTTTAGCACTGAGAATGTCATGTTGGGGAAGTGTCAGAGAAAAAAAAAAAAGAAGACAAACTCTTGCCCTAAGGAACTTCCCTGTAGGAGATTGGACATACATTCAGGGATTGAGAACAGGAACACATGATAAGAGCCCTGGACTCTAGAAGGATAGGCAAGTTTGGGAACATGAGGTTAGTTTTCAAAAACAAGAGATTAAGGGGACCAGCAGTTAGCGTAATGGCTATGTCACTGAACTCCCATGTAGTCGACTGCGGTTCGAGTCCTGGACCCAGTGGCGCATGTGCGTATGTGCCCATGATCCTGAGAGGAGAATGGAGGAGAAGGGATTGCGGCGTGGCCGTACCCCCTGTGGGGGCCTCCACTTTTTCTGTCTCTCTGTCTCTGTCTTTCTGGCGAGTGCATGCGCCCTATAGCAAAAACCTCTCTTAAAACAAAACAAAACAAAACAAAACAAGAGATTAGGGAAAACCTTAACAGTTACAACTTTTTCATGTAACCTCTGACTGAAACTAAACAGACAATGTGAACTTAGTTTTCATATTTTCTTAGATGAAGAAGCTGAGCTGTGAGATGAGAACAGAAGTAAGTGCTAAAGAACACAAAAGCCCATGTTGCTCTTACCCCTACGATGGCCTTCAGTTCCTCATGACCTTCCCATTCGCTGCTATAGATCTCCTGCAGAGTTTCTGACACTCTCTTTGAACTCTCATGCATCACTGAAAGGAAAAACTCTGTCCAGTCATAAAGTTTCCAAAAAGTAGTTTGGTACCATCACATGGGTGACACAATGGGTCCAATTTGAAAGGACAAACTCAAAAGGTTTACCCTATCAGTGAGGGAAGCTGGATGGGGCTTGAGTAACAAAGGTCACTCTTCATAGGTCTACAGAGTTTCAGGAATCAAGGGCAGGTAAGCATAAACCTAAGTATGGTTGTGTTTCCCCATTCCCCAGACATGTTAGTAGTTGCATAAATGCCCTCTGGATTCTCCTGTGTGTAATACCTACCTTTGACTGCACTAAGGAAATTCTTCAGATCCTTGTATAGCTTGTGGCCTTCTGCCTGAAAGGGAAAAGTGCCTTTGGTGACTAAAAAGATACATTTCAAAAGATGCTCCAGAGCTCTAAGTCAAAAGTAGGTTAAAAGCAGAAATTGAAAACAGCGTGGCGGTATCCACCTGTAGTCCTAGCTACCTAGGGGACTGAGGCAAAAGAACTGCTTTTGAGGGCAGCTTGGACAATACAATGAGGCTGTCATTTTAAAAAGGGGGGAAAAGGAGCATAAATCATTCCTGAAAGTTCTTTCTTTCTTTTTGAGAGATTTTTGCTGGAACTCAAACTGTATAGTTGGCCATATGGGATCCAGATGCCTTAATCACCATGCCACCTGGACGGTCCCATTCCATACTTTTTTTTTTTTTTTTTTGCTATAGGGCATATGTGCTTGCTGGAGAGAGAGAGGGAAAAAAAGTGAGAAATTACCCCTCTGAGAGGATGGCCATGCTACAATCCCTTCTCTTCCACTCTCCTCTTTGGATTTTGGACATACACACACATGCACCCAACATGATTTTTTTTTTTGAGAGATTTTTGCTATAGGGAGCATGTGCTTGCCAGAGAGAGAGACAGAAAGCGAGAAATCACTCCCCAGCGGGGATGGCCATGCTGCAATCCCTTCTCCTCCATTCTCCTCTCGGGATCTTGGGCACGCATGCACGCACACACGTTCAACGTGACTTTAAGCTACCAGCTCCGGTACTCAAACTGCGGTTGACTACATGGGAGACCAGAGACACAACCATTATACCAACTGCTGGTCCTTCAACATGATTTTTAGGCCTGCAAATCTGGGAATTGAACCATGGTTGGCCATGTGGGAATCTAGCAATTTAACCACCAGGCCACCTGCTGGCCCCCAACACATTTTTTTTTTCCTTTTAAAGATTTTTGCCATAGGGTGCATGTTTTTGCTGGAGAGGAGAGAGACAGTGAGAGACAAAATGAAAAATCACCCCCGAGGTGATGGTCAGGCCACAATCCCTTCTTCTCTAGTCTCCTCCCGGGATTTTGGGCACATACACATGAGCCCAGTATGATTTTCAAGTTGCCAGGTTTGGGTCTTGAACCATGGTAGGCCGTGTGAGAATCCAGAACCTTTAGCACTAAGCCACCAGCTGCTCCGACTCTCTCCACCCCATTTTTTTTAAAGACAACTATCATGTGCCTTTCTACCAAGTCTTCTTTCTGGTGGGTTTCCTTAATTGTTCCTCATCATGTTATTTAAAGCCCTTTTCTGGTCTCTTCCCATTCTGGTTTCTTTCCTATGTGTGTGTGAACTCCAATTTCTAGAAAACGTGTAAAAAGGAAGTTTAGAGCAGAGAGTTGATGTTTTGGAGCCTGACTTCAGTAGTGTGGGACTGGACTGAGAGGTGCAGCTACTTCAAGGGTACTCTACAAAGCCAACTTAAATGACAGAACAGATCAGTTCAGGGGATGAAGTATTCGAAATCCAAAGTACATTATTCAGTGTGCCATAAAGTACTTTTTTTAAAGAATTATTTTATTTCATTTTATTTATTCATTCATTATTTTAATTTGACCAGAGAGAGACAGAGAGAGAAGGAGAGAGAGAGAGAGAGAGAAAGAAAGCCACCAGGTCCAGGACTCAAACCATGATCAGCTATGTGGAATCTTCAGTGCCTTAAACACCATGCCACCTGCTGGTCCCCCAGAAAGTACTTCTTGTGAATTTGTTCATTGGCTTTTGGCTGTGTTCAGTACTACATATGCTATTAAGCACACAAAAGGTTGAAAAAACATTATGGGATTAAAAAAATAAAAATTAAAAAAGAAATCTATCTAATGACTTAAAATTTTCTGTGGAAATCTTTGGGAAAAGATCACTATTATTTAATTTTCAGGCACACACGCACATGCACCCAGTGTGTTTCAAGCCTCTGAGTCCAGCACTTGAACCGTGGTTGGTCTTGTGGGAGTTCGGGGCCTTAACCACTATACCACCTGCTGGTCCCCACTTTGAGAGTTCTAAAACTATAATAGTCAAGGTTCGAAAGAGCTTTGAAGGAGTTCTGGGCTAGCCCCATGGCCAAGTAGTTAAGGGAGTTGGATCCTTCACAGCCAATCCTGGACCTGGTGCCTTGCAAGAGCATACTGGACTTGTGTGTGTACATGGTGAAAACTCTGACAGGGTGGAAAAATGGAAGAAAAAAATATTGTAATGTGACCAATAATGGTCACATTACATTAGGGGATGCTTTCTTCCTCTCTCTCTCTCTCTGTATCTCTTGAGCAAGGAAGAATACATACCCTCTAGCAAAAAATTTTAAAAAGAAGAAAAAAAAAGAGTTCTGGAGATTATGGAAATTAACAAGGGGCCTCGCCTCAGTAATGCAGGTTATGGATTCAGATCCTTGGTCAACCTAAAACACACCAGGCATGCATGCCAAAGATTCTGACTAGCTGGAGGGCTAGATGAAGGGGATCATGGAGTGAAGAGACCCTGTCAAGGGTATCTCTCTCTCTTCTTTCTTTCTCATGAAACAACTATAATAAACAGAAATATTAGGGCTGAAGAAAATTACTTTAATCAAAGTTACTATGTATGATTGTGTACTATTCAAAACTGGGGGTTACTATTTATATCATAGTCCAGAAAATGTGAATATCTTCTGCTCTTCACTACACCTGACAAAAGCCCACTTTAGAATTAAGCCTCTTAGTCACAATGTTTTTCCTTTATGCTCTTTCTTTTGAGGAGATGAAGTATGGTGGGTATGTATGGAGGTAGCAGTGATGGGAAGAAGTAGGGAGAAGATGGGACAGCACTGGTATCATTTCCATACTGCCTTGAAATGTCTCTAGGCTGAATCATCCCAGTCTCTTCCTCCTTTTCTGACCGATATGACTCTTACAGTCTTAGGTTCTTACTTGTCTGGGAGTCAAGAAACTTAGTTCTACCCTCGACTAGCAAGTTATTCCACTTTTCTGGCTTCAGTTTCCTCATCTATAAATGCAGGGTAAGGCCATCTCTAGCTCTAAATCTTATGATTTTATCACCCTGCTTTCTGAATCCTTGCCAAATTCTTGGCATTGCCATAAAGAGTCTGAGTCAGTCTTTCTCACCCTTTATATAAACAGTCCCAGCCCTTAGTTAATGAACCACTCACTGTGGAAGTTTGTCCTAAGCACTCAAGTGGACAGAGCTAGGTCCTAAGAGACTGGTATGCTAAGGATGGAGAACGCTCTTATCTTGGGGTACCCTACCTACTGGAAAAAAATAGACTCAGATACCCAGGAAAACAAGTGTAGCTAGCATGACCAAAGCCAAGCAAGTGCTGATAATGTTTGATGTAATGGAGATCCAGGAGGAAAAGATGAAGATAAATTGTTAGACTTTGTTTAATTTTTAGTTTTCACTCTAAGGCATGTGTGCTCATGTGTACATGAGAGAGAGAGAGTGAAATCACCCCTCCCAGGGGGTATGGCCATGCTAAAATCCCTTCTCCATTTTCCTCTCAGGATTATGGCCATGCACACATGAGTGCTTTGCATGTTTATCAAGCTGCCAGCTCTAGGACTTGAACTGTAGTCAGTTACTCCTGGCTCTTTCAGACAAGGTTTCCAGTGACCATACTGCCCCCTAGTTTGTGACTGTCATGCTTTGGCTTTCCAATGAGGTAGGATCACAGGCCTCTGCCACCATGCCCAGTTCTCATTGTGTGGTTTTTTTTTTTTTTTTTAATGTTTATTCTTTTTTCTTTCTTTTTTTCTTTCTTTCTTTCTTTCTTTTTTTTTTTGAGAGGTTTTTGCTATAGGGCACGTGCGCTTGCCAGACAGACAGAGAGAGACAGAGAGACAGAAAGCGAGAAATCACCCCCCAGGGGGGATGGTCACGCCACAATCCCTTCTCCTCCATTCTCCTCTCGGGATCTTGGGCACGCACACACACACGCCCGGCGTGAGTTCTAAGCCACCGGGTCCAGGATGCGAACCGCGGTCGACTACGTGGGAATCCAGAGACATAGCCATTACACTAACTGCTGGTTCCCTATTCTTTATTCTTGATGTACTTTATGATTGGTTGGAATGAGTAAATGTTTTATGAAAAACATTGTTAGTGTGATAATGGTACTATGGTTACATTTTATTTTATTTAGAATTATTTATTTAATTTTATTTATTTATTATTATTTTTAAATTTGACCAATGAGAGAGTGAGGGAAAGTGAGAAAGCAAATTGCCAAGTTTGAGACTTGAACCACAGTCAGTAAGTCATGTGGTAGTCCAGCACCTTAACTACCACGCCACCTGCTGGACCCAGTGATTACATTTTAAAACAGTCTTTAAATTTAGATTCATAAAGAAATTTTTATGAATAAGATAGTATACTACCTGGAATTTACTTCATAATTCAAGAGAGAAGAAAGTGAGTGAGGACATATATGATACAAAATTGTCTATTAATTGATAAATTATTAAAGCTGAATGATGGGCACATACAGGCATATTAATAGTATATGGGCTAGCCGGTGGTGTGGTAGTTGGGGTAGTTGGATCCTGCATGACTGGCTGCAATGTTTGAGTTCCAGAGCTGGTAGTTTAAAAGGTACACCAGGTATATGTGCATGGAGAGGGAACTGTAGCATGACCATTCCCAGTTGGGGGGGGAGGTGCTTCCTCACTTTCTCTCTCTTTCTCTCTCTGGCAGGTACGTGCACCTTCTAACAAATTAAGAAAACAGAAAGTTTCATTATCTTTGTATATGTTTGATTTTTTTCCATTTAGGCTGCCAGCCCTGTGGCCTAGTAGTTAAGAGAGTTGGATCCCACATGGATCACTGAATGATTTGAATCCCAACCTTGGCAGCTTGAGAAACACACCAGGTGTGTGTGTGTATGTGCCCAAAATTTCAACAGGATGGAGAGAAGAAGGAGAAGTGATTGTAGTGTAAGCATGTTCCATTGGGGGAGTGCTTTCTCCCTCTCACTCTGTTTCTGGTGAGTCCACACACATATGCACTGCATGATTTTCAAGCCACCAGGGCCAGGATTCAAACCATGGTCAGCCACGTAGGACCTAGCTCCCTTAACAAGGCTATGGTGCTGGTCCCTAATTTGTTTCCTTTATAATAAATTTTAAGTAGAATACTTTCCTGAGTTCTGAAAGTCATTCTGGTGGATTATTAAACCTGAGCAAGTGGTAGGAACCCTAAGGACCAGCAAGTGGCATAATGATTATGTCGCTGGACTCCTATGTAGTCGACCACAGTTTGAGTCCCAGACTTGGTGGCTTGAAACTCACACAGGGCATGTGTGCATGTGTGCCTAAAAACCCAAGAGGAAAACAGAGGAGAAGGGATATAGCATGGCCACTCCCGTTGGGGGGGTGAGTTCCCACTTTCTGTCTCTCTGTCTTTTCTATCTCTCTAGCAAGCACACATGTCCTAGAGCAAAAACCTCTATAATAAAAAAAATATTAAAAATGTAAAAAGGTGGTAGGAACCCCAAAATTTGTAGTCAGTTGGTCAGAAATGCAGGTGGCCTGGGAATCCCAGAGTTTGCAACTATTGCCTAAAGTAAGGGCAATCTTGTCCTACAAGACTGTGCCCTTAACCTGTGAAATTTTACTTAACTCTGGGAAGCGTGAGAATCGTATTGCAATAGGATGTATATTTAAGTTAATAATTTCCTTCTTTTGGGGCCAGCAGGTAGTATGGTGGTTGAGAGTGCTGGATTCCCACAAGGCAGACTGCAGTTCGAGTTCCGGACCTGGCTGCTTGATTTCTCACTTTCCCTCTCTCTCTCTCACTCTGTCCCTCTCTGGTCAAATAAAAATAAATAAATAAAGCTAAATAAAAATAATTATTAAAAAAAATTTCCTTCTTTTATAAGAGAGGGTAGCAATCTCCAAGACTAATATAAACTTTAAATGAGATGATATACATAAAGCACCACACATGATCCCTTGCACTTGGAAAATCAAATATCCCATGGAGGTCTGACAAGTGGCATGGTGGTTGAGGGTGCTGGATTCCCAGATGGCCAACTGTCGTTCAAGTCCCGGACCTGATGGCTTGCATTTTCACTCCCCACCCTGTCAAATTAAAATAATAATGATAATAAATAAAGTTAAATGGAAAAAATTATTTAAAAAATAATATCCCATGGAGGTTAAACCTCTGTTACCCATTTTTTTCTTTCTTTCTTTTTTTTTTTTTTGGAGAGGTTTTTGCTATAGGGCGCGTGCGCTCACCAGAGAGAGAGACATAGAGACAGAAAGCGAGAAATCACCCCCCAGTGGGGATGGCCACACCGCAGTTCCTTCTCTTCCATTGTCCTCTCAGGATCTTGGGCATGCATGCACATGTACCTGGCATGAGTTTAAGCCACCGGGTCCAGGACTTGAACCATGGTTGGCTACATGGGAGTTCAGCGACATAGCCATTACACTAACTGCTGGTCCCCCACCCATGTCTTAATGTAAATTTTTTATGTGAAATTATCCACAGTACCCAGTTGAGGCAGTAGAACAATAAGAATAGGAGGCTTACTTGTGGAAATGATAGATGAAAGATGGAGGAATTATTTTAGACTAAAGAGTTAAGTGGGAAAAATGTAGTGAACAAAGAAATGTAAAAAACAAAGTACAATGAAGATGAGAAGAGCCCTAAGGTGGGAGAGAGGCACCCTGAGAAAGTGAATAATCCAAAAACAAAGGTAGCAGAGGTTCATGTTGATGTTGTCCATGGATGTGGTGATGCCACTGTACCTTCAAGTCCTGAGGGAACTATTAGAAAAAAAGAACAGTTATCTGTCCCCTAAAATCCTAAGGTCAGCAAGACTAGGGAAGATAAGTTTCTCTGGTTCCCAGAGGAAGGATAAACAGCAGGTCACCCTATGCCCCTTATCCTGTGGGAGGATGGATAGCTGGTTTGCAGAACCTACTGTTCTTCTGCCACTCAGCCCTCAAGTCTTTGATATTCTCCAAGTTTCCCTCTCCACCCTCTAGATTACCTGTTGTTGGTAGAAATTGTTGGCACTTTGTTCAAATCGCTCATCTTTGGTTTCTACAGTTTTCCCCAGTTTCTGCAGTACCTGTGAACATAAGATGAAAAGGCCCATAAGGTTATAGTCAAGTCTCTCCTATCCGTTGGCCTTGTATGACCTGGCTTCTTTCAAAGTCTCAGATGCATGGGTTATCCCTCCTGTCATCCCTATAGAATTAGGAATATAACATGTCACTGAAAAAAAAATTCTATTTTTTAAATTTTTTTCCTATTGGGAGAACGAAGGGGTATGTAGCACGGTGCTAAAGGGTGTATATAAAGCTCAGAATAAGGTATATCTTCCTGAAATGCTGTTGTTAAAGTGGTTTTGTTTTTTGCTTATTAAGGAAAAGGAGGGGGGCATTATACTTAAAAATGGATTAATGAGAAAAATGTAAAATGTACATTGCTTTTGAAGATAAAATATGAACCTTTAAGTCATTTTTCATTTGAAAGACCCTTTTCCAGTTAATCGCCACAGATTCTTCTAGACAGATGATGTTGGAGAGATAGGCAGGGAACTCTTCTCTCATGAGGGTCCTGTGGAAAACTTTGAGAAGTTCTAATACAAATGAAACGCAACCAGAAATGAATGCCATCCATGTCTGTCTCCGCTCAACAAGGAAACCTTAGAGTCAACCATCGGATTGTTTCAACACTAAAGGAAATGACACGAAGGTGAAAAATTCCCAGTCGGTTTTCAGAGGGGACTTCTCTTATAAACAAGTACATAATGACATATGGTAAGATGCCCTGGAACTTTTATCTATATCCCCTATCTTTTAAGGAAGTACTGCCCTACACCAGGCACAAGTTAGCACCTTAGGACTTGCCTTCAACTACTTCTTCCTCACCTTCTTCATCGAATCCTTCACCAGGTTCATCTCTGTGAACAATCCTTTGCTCTCTGGTCTCATTGCCATTGCCTTAGTCCAGGGTCTCACTGTTGCTCACCTGGCCTGTTCCAGTACCGTGCTACTACTGCTTAAAACCTTCTAGTGGTTGCTCATTTATCTACTTCTATAAGTGACAGTTCAAACTCTAGCATGCAAAAAGATCTCAATGGTCTGACCTTCATTAAGCCTCAGCTTTCATTCTTCCTTCTCTATGCTGGCCTCCCTTAATAACACTTTATCTTCCTGGAGAAGAAAACTCCATCCACACTGTTGCTTGTCACAGACTCTGATTCCTTTTTCTGAAATGCTCTTCCCCACCTTTTCTGTCAGGCAAGTATCTTTTTTTTTTTTTTAAGAGAGATTTTTGCTATAGGGCATGTGTGCTCACCAGAGACAGAGACAGAGATGGACAGCAAGAAATCACCCTCTGGGGGGATGGCCACACTGCAATCCCTTCTCCATTTCCCTCTTGGGATCTTGGACACGCACGCACATGTGCCTGGTGTGAGTTTTAAGCCACTGGGTCCAGGACTCAATCCGTGGTCGACTACGTGGAAGTTGCTGGTCCCAACCAGGCAATTATCTTTAAAAACCCAGTTCATACTCCATGTCTTCTGTAACACTTAACCACATCTATTTTATCCCATAAGTAAAGGTAATCACTCTCTCCTAAATGCTTACAACTTCTGTACCCTGCATACACTTCTATTACTGTTTTATTATTTATATTTACTTTTCTATGTCTCTAAAACTGTGAGTTCCTTGAGGACTAGGTACTTGCCTTACTCATTTAGATTTCTCAGTATACAGCAAACAGATACTTGATAACTGGATTGAGAAGGATACTGAGACTGATAAAGGAGAGGAAAAATGAACTGGGCCTTGAAGTACAATTTTGCTAGATTGGAATAGACTAAAAAGGTAAAGACAGAAAGAAGTTGCAGGATTCCAGTCAAAGACAACAGCATCAGTGAAATCATGACAGTATGCAACTTTATGGCAGCTTCATAAAATGGTTAAGCAAGGCTGGTTTAGGGTGTGTTATGGGGTAGGTGGGGAATGAAGCTAGAGAGATTGGAGTCTCATTATGACGAGCTTTGAATCACATGCAAGAGTGCCTGGACCTGGGATATATAGAAAGTTCTGTGTAGAAACTCTGACCCAGTGGTTCCTGTTTTTTCTTTCTTTCTTTTTGGTGAAAGATTTATGTTTTATTCCTGATAGAGTGTGTCCATACTCACATGACTTGAAAGAGAAAAGGAGAGGGAGAGACAGGGAAGCACCCTGGACAGGGTTTTATCATACAATACCCCTTCCTCCAATCCTCTAGCTTCTCAGGATCTTGGGCACATGCATGTGCATACCTGGCATATTTCAGGTCTACTGGGCCAGGTCTACTGGCAGCTGGCTGTTGTGGCTTCCAACTCTATGGTCCAGTATGCTACCAGATGTGCTACTTAGCTTAGGCCAAAGTCTGCACTCTTTATTTATTTTAATTAATTAATTAATTACACTAGAGGGGGAATGAGAGAGAGAGGACACAGCCCTCAACAGGGCCTTAGTCACACCATGATCCCCTTTCCTCCCATTCTCCATCCCATCAGGATCCTAGGCATATATGTGTATACCCAAAGTGTTTTTCAAGCTGCTGGTGCTGGGACTCACATCCTTATTGTCCATATGGAACCTGGCTTCCTGTGCACTTAACCATTAAGTAACCATTCAGCTACAGGGCTGGCCCCCGGGTCTCCATTCCTTTTTAAAAATTTAAAAAAATAATTATTTATTTACTTAATTTTGTTCGTTGTGATTATTTTTTAAATTTAACCAGAGAGAGACAGAGAAAGAAAGGGAAAGTGAGGGGATCAGCAGTTAGCGTAATGGCTAAATCACTGAACTCCCATGTATG